TGTTCATGGCGCCTTACTAGAGTAATGAATTATACTCGATTGCATGCCTAGTAGTTTAAAGATATTAAAGATTAAAGATTTAAGAGTAAATTTGAGTAGCATCCCACATATTAAAGTTAAAGTATTTTTGAAAAATTGATATGAGTTTTTGAAAATTAAATCAGAGCTTCCCTTTTATGGCGTGAAAAATTACTCTGATTATAGTAAGTCTAGGCGGGGTGTTACCGTTGAGGCACCATCCTTTTCACGTGTAAGAATGGCGAGCTTCGTCTGAGGCACCATCCTTTTCACGTGTAAGAATGGCGAGCTTCGTCATTCTCTGATGTCTACTTCATTCCCCGGTTTGCGAAGAACATAATCAACCTCGGGCAGCTAGATGAAGGCGACTACAAAGTTAACATCGATGACGGAGTGCTGAAGATAAGGGAGTCTGATAGACGACTATTTGTGAAGGTAACGCGGGTGGCTAACCATCTATTCAAACATCGTGTCAACGTGGCGCAGCCATCTTGCTTGGTGGTGCGTGGGTGCGGGGATGAGATAATGTGGCCCTAGAATGAATGCTTCGACCATATCAGCATGGCGACGCTCAGGAAGTTGACTCGGGAGGAGCTAGTGTGTGGCCTAGCAGAGATTGGGCAAGTCGACTAGCTGTGCGACACTTTATAAGTCGAGAAGAAGGGGAAGACATCGTTCTCGGTGCAAACAGAGTACCGTGCACGAAAACATCTCGAGCTAATAAATGGTGACTTGTTTGGCCTCATCACGCCGGAACCCCCAGAGAAAACAAGTACATTCTCCTGATGGTAGATGACTTTAACAGATACATGTTGGTCAAGGACTGTGTCACGGAGGTTCAAGTCCGGGAGAGAGGCAGATTGTCGTCAAACTAAAGGTGCTCTACACTAATCGAGGGGTTGAGTTAACCTTGAAAGAGTTTGCAGACTACTACGCGACAAAGGGTGTGCACCGTTAGCACCTGTCGCCTTACAACCCACAGCAAAATGGAACGGTATTTTCGAATGCCGAAATAGAAGGGTAGTTGCAACGACCAAGAGCATGCTCAAGGCAAAAGGCCTACATGGATGGTTCTGGGTGAGGCGGTTAACACCGTTGTTTACATGCTGAGAAAGTGCCCGACCAAGAGCGTGGAAGGGATGACACATTTGAAGCATGGCACAGAAGAAGTCGGCGGTGAACCATCTTTAGAATGTTCGGCTTCATCGTCTACGTGCGCAACAGAACACCACACTTGAATAAGCTGGAGGACCGCGACTGTAAGAAGATCTTCATCGGCTATGAGCGTTGCACCAAGACGTACTGCACCTATGACCCCGTCGCAAGTTGGGTCCACATAACGTGTGTTATGGTGTTCGACGAGCAAGCCCAGTGGGACTGGGGAACCGACGAGAACGATGGCGAGCCAAATGGTGATGACGATGTGTTCGTAGTAGAGTACACCACAACAGGCCTGGTCATGCATGAGGCTGATGACACCGTCGTGTTGGGGTATACAGTAAAGCAAACTTTTATGTGAGCTTTTGGATTGTATTTATTCGATTTCCCATTTGACTGAAATAAATGTTTTCACATTGTTGCATTCTTTATGATTGCTTGTATGCTAAATGTCCAATTATCTTATATTGTAGACAATGTGGTGTGTTAGTAGTCACACAGAAGATTACATTGTCGGTCCCTTATAAGATATAAATGGTAGTCACAACTGAGATAGTTATGGACATGATTATCGGTTTAGGTTGTAGTATAAACTGGATATAGCTTGTCTTGGCTATTAGTTTATACTAGTGCGCTGCGTCGCACTGAATGGATCACAGTTGAGACGTGTTCCTCTGTCCTGACTATCATGAAGAACCTAGGTCTCGGTGACTCTACTAATTCTAAACCCTAACTGTGATACTTAGATATGTGGGATGTTTGTCTGTTACTTTGATTTACCATGGGTGAGAACCAAGTATTGGTTCAATATGCTCCGTATCTTGGGTAACAACATTATCTGCATGATATCTATTTATTGGCATTAGGGAACCGTGTCCTGGACATCCAGGTTGATGACGTCCCCTTAAGGAACTCATAAGGATTATCGTATAAACCCTACTGGTGGATTTAATCCGTACGATAATAAGGTTGAGTGGTACTACTTAAGGAATAAAAGATATTAATTAATTAAAGCAGTCAGAAGCTTTAATAATTAATGGACGTGTGATATCTTAAACACGGGGAATTATATCGAGTCTAATAGAAGCCCTGATTCATTTCGGGATAGGACGGGAGTGCAATATTAATTCTCTAGTGGAATGAATTAATATTTATGGGCCAAATTGTGTTATGGGCTGAAGATAAGTATTTGGGCCTGTAAGGAGCCCAAACCCTATACCTTCTAAGAGATCCCTAGTCTGGCCCAAGGACCTCTATAAAAGGAGGGGACCTCCCACGTTTTATACCCTAGCAATTTCGTGAGATACTCCAGCCACCATCGTGGAGAGAGTAACGAGAAGGGTTGAGAAAGACGAGGGCAGTCTGCTTCTTTCAACCGTTTGGAGGATCGTCGTCCATCCGGCGTCCAAGCGTGGTCGGGACACATACTAGATGGTCGCTCAGATCGAATCAAACCTCCTTTTCAAGGTAATTCTCTGTTCGTCCTTTAGGAGCAAGCTTAGGGTTATTCGAAATCATGTATGTACGTGTTTGGTATCCGATATCGATCCGTGGGA